TAATTAGGCTTAGCATGGTCTCAATCAGTGTGTGTTTAAAAAAAAAAAAAAAAAAACCACACATCATACCACATACTGATTTTGTTTGTACTAATATTAAAGGAGAACACACACACCTGATTTTTATTAATGTTCCATTACATAGATTTCCTTAAAAGAATAGAGTTTTAAATAGGATAGTGAGAAACCATTACATCTAAAATACATACAAGACATTTGCTTCCTTGCTTAACAAAACAAATAAGCCAAAATATTGCCACAAATCTATTAGTAAATACCCAGTGATGTGGTATAGTGACTCCTATCTCATCCACATTGGCACTGTTTCTTGATAAGACCAAATTGGGAGAATCTGTTTAACTAATTTGGCATCCTTATACACCCATAAAATGACGTTTTTTTTTTTCTTTTTCTTAAGGCACTATAGACAGTAGAGACTTAAAATAAGAAAGCGCCTTGCTTTTAGGGAAATTTTTAATATGGTTATGTTATTGAAGATCACCTAGTGCAAAGGTATGTAGCCATTAACCAAAATCTAACCCTCAGGCTATTTGAAAGGATTATCCATAATTACAGCTCTTCAAAGCAACTGAGGATTTAGCAGAATGATCCCACAGCCCTATATGGAAGGAAGTTATCATCTCTTCAGGAAATTATTCTTTACTTAATCTACCAGTTATAAGTACAGCAGTTGTAAGTGTATCTGATTTTAAGTACTTTTGGTATATAATTTTATTTTTCTTCAATCTGAATGCTGATTTATAGAAATCCAATCCAGGTACAACATGTCTTTAATATTGGGAGCGTTCACCATTCACCATGGTATGACTTTGCAAAGCACTGTGTTAACACATTGAAAATATATAAGCTATATCCTTGGGTACTATGAAGCAGGAGGATGAAGTAAATGCAATAGCAGAGTGTGTGGCTAAAAGCATGGACTTTGGAACCAGACCATCTGGGTGAAATTTCTCGCTCTGGCACTTATTAGCTATGTGACCTTAAACAAATTACTGAACCTCCCTCTGCCTCAATTTCATTATCGGTAAAATGGAGACAAAAACTTGTGCTTACCTTGATGTGGACGTCTGGATGACTTTATGAAAAGCATTTAAGACAGTGCTTGGCACATAATCAGTGCTATATAAATAATAGCTATCACTATAACTATATACGAGTAATAGGTTATACTACCTATCGCTATAATTAATACTACATATCCTATGGAAGGTTCTCTATCTAATTATCAATTTAGTTAAGACTGAAAAGTCCCAGTTAGTCTATGAGTAAGGCACTTTGATCTTTCATTAGAAATGCAAACAGCAGGATACTTACTGGAACAACAGGTTTCAGACTCTGGCCACCAGGGTGTGAAGTGCTTGGCTGGGAATCAGCAGGTGGGCCTGGCGCTGGGTCACTGCTTCTCCTCACCAGCAGTGGAGTACCTGGAGGACAAAGGACAAGGAGAGAGGTCAAAAGAACCCTGGTGGGAAGAGAGTGCATGGCACAATGCACTTTAATTAAAAAGGTTTACAACATGCTTTTATGTAAAAACATTCTATTTCTAAGGATGCTTGTAAATTAATCCATTTAATGATCTTTTGTCATCTATTTATACAATGACACATGGAAACAAAATCTTTCAGCTCTCATGTTTCCCGACTTGCATTTCAAAATAAGCCATTTATTTATCAAAACTGTTAGGTAATGCAAAAGTTGACAGTGTACAATCTAAAAACTGATATAGAAAATATATGTGAGTATTAAAAAGAATGATAATCCAGCAAATGAATGAAGGGGTTCACACAGTGTAATCTGCTATTCAGTAGAGCCAGAAGTATAGTTATCACTGCCATTTGGTGCTTCCCAAATCTTTGAACGATGAGATATATATATACATGAAATATGTTATTTGCTGGGGTTATAGCATTAATGTCTATTTAAGTTCACAAAGAAATTGGCTCTGTTCTCTTCCTTTTCTCCTAAAGCAGACAGAACTGATAAAGTAAGTTAGTTCTTCTAAAAGTATATCCTGATTTCTTTTTAATTTAATGAAAGCTTCCACTATTAAATATTTGAGTCAGTTATTAAATTCTGAAAAAAGATCATACTATTAGAAAGTTCAAATAAAATTCAACCTTAGCAGAGCTAGTAGCCTAACTACTTTGATTGTAATTAGGCCTAAAATAATTTGTTTCATACAAAATTGGCCACTACAGAAAAAAATCTCAAAAAAAATCTGCTTGTGGTTTAAAAATCACTCTCATATAAAAATTAACTTTTTATTTGTGTACTTTTGGGAAAGGAGTGGAAAACAGTTGAAATGCAATTTCCCATATATCAATATGAAAATAATTCCCCAATCCTCTCAAGCTATTGTAGTTCAAGGAACATTTTTCATCCATTTTGTAAGTTATTCACAAAACCTGATTTTTATATGTGCTTCAACATTCTTAGTCTGTACAAAGCATAGAATTGCTAATATTTTTCATCCTTGCCCAGATAGAAGTTGTTTTTTTTTAAAATAACTTCTTTCGTAGTAAGAAATTAACATGCTTAGGATACAGACCTATACCAAAAGGCATTATAAAGTCCAAGACCACATTCCTTTATTTCTTTTTTTAGTAGACATCACTACATTTATTCTCCACATTCTCCATCGTAAAAATTTCTTAAGCAACTGACATACCAATAATTGTATGGTTGGAAATTGTTCTCTAAATGAAACATTTAAAAAAAAAAAAACAAGAAGAGTAGAAGCAAAAAAAAGTACCATAAAATCTTAAGAAAAAAATTTTATTCCCTCCCTCAGGTGATCTGAAGACTAAGCTCCTTTTAGATTAAACCTCTCAATTATCAGTAACATGAAATGAACAAGTCAGTATAAATGCAATATTCTCAGAAGCAATCCATTATTTTTAAAATTAAGAAGAAAATGGGGCAAAATCCATGAAACAAACTTGGTTTCCAAGCATTTAACCAGGCTAGTACACTACAATCAATCTTGAATTGGAAAAAACAAAGAAAAAAGGAAAAACATTATGGTTCACCAAGGTATTTTTCTCATTGCCAAAAAACAAAGTTGATTTAGAGGCACAGAAATGAAAATTTTAGTGATTGACAAATTTGTTTTTCAGCTGAGTCATATACAGATACATGAATATATAGAAAGTATATGACATGATTTTTGATGGGTAATAAATAAATTTTTCTAAAAGAAGCCACAGTAGATAATTTTCCTTCAACTTTAACAACACATACCTATGACTCCTCACTTATTGTCAATATCTGCTGTTTTAATAACAGAACGCTAAATTATTTAAGACATAACTTTATAACAACATGTATTCAAGTTCGTATATTCAATCAATAAGCCAGAGTATTACAGTATGTTCCCATATGACAATGATAATTTTGTACCAATGTATCAGCTATTTGGAACATTAAAAGACAAACTTTAAGATGGCTAGATCTTTCTTAAACATACTTTCAGCTCATCAGGAATCAGTTTTCTTCTTCTCCACATTTCTGCACTCCACACTCGAATGTCTCCTGGTGAGTCACCTTCTAATTTTTCTTTGGCTGTCTTGATGTGTTAATAACAAGTGCAAATCATTCCATATTGAAATTAGTAATGAGCATCTTTAAATATGAACTGTTATCTCCAAGAGTTTTAAACAACCCTTCTTAGAATTAATTTTTAAATTGCCAAAATCCATTTGAAGGTGACTGTCAGAAAGTGACTGAGTTCCGATTTAAACACAAAGAAAAATATGTCCTAGTGTGCAACAGAAGGCAAGGAATGGGAAGCACTGAAGATGATTTGGGCAAATCCTGGCATATACAGTAGAGCAGAAGTCACATTTTGCAAGCAAAGCTAACGCAAATGAGAGGGAGACAATTCCATCTAGTTTTATGGAACCTCCTGTTGGAGGTGGGGGAGGAGTCAATGAAACATAATCTCTGCAGTAAAGGAGCTTATAACCTAACAGTAGAGACCAGATACTAACATTTCTGTCCTGTGTCAGCACAGTGGAGAGGACTAGTTTATTTTCAAGTCAAATAAACTGAGCTTCACCCTTGTTGGTCCTGTGACATTGGACTTGGACTGTTCTGTGACTCAGTCTCAACATTTAAAACTGATAATAGCACATAACACAACTGACGGGAGGCTGAAATAGATTGAGGCATGCATGGAACATGGCACTGTTGGGTATGCGATTTTCATGCAGGAAATCCACCCTCACCAGTAAAAAGAAAGTAAAAGTATCTGTTATTTGTTGGGAACAGTGTTATCTGCTCAAAAAGCTGAACTCTTGAGAGTCAATTTTCATAATAATATATAAATAAAGTCTAATTCTGTACCAAACCAGATATAATCTTACAACAGAAGTCAAAATATTAACAACAAAAAAATGGGCCCCAAAATAAGTTTTTATACAGATACACACCTTACAAGTTTTGATTTATTACTGATTAATCTAACTATGCTGTATTTCTAAATGAATCATGAATGAGAAGAGCGCTTTATTGTGGAATTACTTTAAACTGTTCTGTAAAACAAAAAGAAAAAACTATGAAAATAAGCTAATCTAGTTAGTTGCCAAGCTGAAATTCATCATTTAATTTACCTCCTATGCAATGATTAATGCTGCAAAATGTCTGGTTATGTTATAGTATATTCATAAAAGAAATATTATTACAAGGTTTGAGAGGTAGCCAATTGCATTCTTTTGGAAATTTACTGTACCATTTTGATGTGTTAAGTGCCTTGTTGTAAAGTAAAATTTTCAGTCTAGAATTCATTATTTTTCTGACATATTATTTTTCATTATGTTATCTACTGTATCTGATTGTAATAGTTTTATCAAATGCTTATATTTTAATCAAATATGTAAATTTCAGAAGCTCTTTTCTCCTACCCACCAGTACCTTAATCATTGGTCTATTATATTGAATTTAATTCAGTTTCTTCTTTTTTAATAAAGAGGAAATTATCTCTGTTTAGAAATATGTTTTCCAAGCTTGTGCTTTTGTGTTCGTAAAAACATTGCAGGAAGAATTTAGGAATGTGACTATAGTTTATACTTTTAAAATGTTGTCTTACATTTACATTTTTAAGTGCCTAATTGTTAGTTAAAACTAATGTATATTTCTATTCTAAAGAGAATATGAGTTCTTGGTTGCTAATCTCTTTCATTTTGCTTTAAAAACATGCACGAACCTATACTTTGTATTTTCCCAACAAACCACAGTGACATTAAAAAAAAAATAAGATCAGGTAGCAAAAGGGTTCAAAAATGGGGAAAAATTGCTATTCATTAGTAACTTTCAACTAATTGAGAGTGTTATTAGATTTTAGAGGTAAAAGCCCTCAGTTCAGCTCAAGGAACAACAGTGTTCCTTAGAAACATGGTTTAAAAGACACTGGAGGCAAAGCCCAAATAACATAGGAATGTTATGTACTTTAAAGCAAAAAGTCTCATATAACTTGCATGATGTTTTTACACACAGTTAAATATTTGAGGTGCTACTACACACCAGGACATACACAAGGGGCAGATGATGATACTAAGAAGAACAGTCATGATGTTTATCTTACTCTCAGCTTATCTTTTAGAAAAGGAAATGAGGGTACAAGGAACATTTCAGTATAAGTAAAGGCAGGTACCAGTATAGGGTTTCAGGTGGGTTATACATGGATTATTGGAGAATTCATACCAATGAGTACACACACACACGGTAACCTGGACAAAGTTCCCATTTAGCCAGACAGGCTGAAACTTAAAGGAAGGCACGGAAACAGATACTTGTGTCAGGAGCAGAAGAGTCCGATTGGGTGTTAGCTGCTGGTGACTACATCCTACAGGGTCTTGCCACATCAGGAAAAGCTCGATTCTTACTAGAACACTTCCCTTCTATACTCAGGACCTATGTCACACTCAGGAAAACCTTACGTAACACTCACTCTACATACCTTTAAGAAGATGGCTAGATGTGTCAGCTTCTCCCAGGCTTTGAGCCAATTAGCATTGGTCAAGCTACATCCTCGTGGGAGGATAAGTGGCATCAGTCCCCAGGTGTCTATGAATGATGGTGAATCTTCTAATTCTCAAGTCATCACCATTTTAATTATGGTGACACTGGTACTCAAAGGGGTAAATTACTTATCCCACATCCCTTTTAAATGTCACTAAAGCAGTCCAGAGGAGGGTTACCTAATTCAGTTTGAGGAAAAGAATTTTGAAAGAGGCAGAAATTGAAGACTAAAATTGGTACACGAATGAATCATGCAAGATATAATGGCCAACACCAATGAGAAGTGTTATCTATATAGGTTTCTGTCTGTTAGAAATCACACACACACATTCTTTCTCTTTCTCTCTCTCTCTCTCTCTCTCTCTCTCTCTCTCTCGGTGGATTTTCTCTACATTTAGAGAATATG